ACCCAGGGCCTTGGTGTTATCAGCACCGCACTCTCCCGAGTGAGCCACGGGCCGGCCCACACAGAAGCAACCTTAACTCCACAAACTCCTCACATGGGGCATGTGACACTACTTTTACAAGGTCGTTCCTCCCTACAATTTCAAAGGGAGGACGCTCACATGGCTGGCTGTCCCTAAGAGACACCTGCACTTACCAACAGCTAGTCCCGGTGGGCCACCAACCAAACCACCAACGAAGGCCACAGCCCCTGTGACCAGGGCGCCCTTCCCAGAGTGCTTGACAGCTGCCTTCATTTTCCTCTCCTCAGAAATGGAGCACAGCAGCTTCATGATGTCCTCCACCATGACAGGCATCTTAGCAGGCCTGAAGGGAAGGATTTCAAAGGGAGAGATTTAACAAGTGAAGAGTATTTCCAACCAAATGTTACTTTATTCTTAGAGTATTGAGAAAGGGTCCTCATTTTCTGGAGAGAACAGTAGCTCTGCCATGTACACGACAGACAGCATTGTCACATGAAAAGTTCTTTGTCACAGAAAAAGCAGGGTAGTGGATAGTTAATAAGCAAACAGAAGCAGCAAGTGGATGAAAGATCATCTTTGCCCTCTGATTAACTTCTGATTTATGACAGATTAAGGAGCAGCCCCAGCCACATGTTCCACCAGCTCAGCACAAGGGAAGCAGGCCTGACCTCTCCTGCATCAATGGCCTTTCAACTGGCTCAGGCCATCCCCTGTGCACAAAGCCTGGCAGAGACTGGAAAGTCCCAGCCTCATGTCCTGTGTTGTGTGGCAGGGCAACTGAGCTAACGCCAAGCCAGAGAAGGGGAAAGAATGGGACTCCGGGACTACACTGGCATTTCCCCACTGGATGACCCTGAGCAGAATGTCAGATATCTCACCTCTAAGAGATAAACCACCTACAGGCTGGATTCTCGCAAGGTGTCAGGAGAACGGGTGGGAAGTACGTGACACGTGTCTGGAACACTGCAGACTCTCAGTGTGTGATGGCTCTAAATGAATGTTCTGTTACTAATGCACACCACTGGCTTCCTTAAATGACTACTTTTAAAATCAGTGCAGTTTTACACATGGAACATTAAAAGCAGGGACAAGATGAAGCAGTTAAGATGAAGTAACCAGAAAATGAAATAAATCAAAGAATTCCAGGAGCTTGCAATGCATATGGACTGATGGACAGCTGGACGGATAGACCTTTAGAACAACAACCTTTATAACAATTCTCTGGGGTCAGGAAACTTTGCCATGCTGATGAGGAAAAGGTGGGCAAGGGCAGGGCAGGCTCTGCCCCTCCGAGGGATGGGTGAGAAAGGAAAGCCCCAATACCAACAAGCCACCCGTCAGCAAGTGATGCTTCTCCTTAGAGCTTCAGCTGGACCCAAGGCCCCATCTGCACTCTCTTAGAGACACTTCTCTTTCCAAGCTGAAACACTTAAACAGTCGTGAAAGGAACGTGACTTTGGAAGTTTGAGGCAGATTCTATTGCTTAACATCTTTTAGTTATATCAGCTTTTTATGACCCAAGGATAATCCAGAATCAGCATTCTCTAATACAAAGTTGCTCTTCCAATCCTGGAGAGAATTTTGAGCCCTTAGAACAAATCCGTGGATCCACCATATTACCACAAAGTCAGGTTTTCAGAACTTCTCTGCAGTCCCAGGCCAGGTAAGAAGTGTCCTGTGCTCCAGCCCCTGAAAATTTCCCTTATTTTTTCCTTTTGATATACAGTCTTGTGTTAATGACAGGGATATGCTCTGAGAAATGCATCGTTAGGCGATTTCCTCATTGTGAGAACATCAGAGTTCACTTACACAAACCTAGATGGCATAGCTTACTACATACCTAGGCTATATGGTATATAGCCTATGGCTCTTAGGCTGCAAATCTGGACAGCATGTTACTGTGCTGAAACTGCAGGCAGCTGTGACACAATGGTATTTGTGTATCTAAACATAGAAAAGGTACAGTAAAAATACAGTATTATAATCTTATGGGACCACCCTGATTATGATGCCTATCCATCAACA